AAGAGATCCGAGCAGAATCGTGGATGACTTTCTTCATTGACCTTCGAGATGCAGTAACTGTTCCTACGGACGTCGGAGGCAGGTCATCGTGGTTTTGTAACTGGCTAAAGCTTCGGCGGGCATTGCGGATGCTCCTCCCAGCCTCTGCTGCTTCAGCTAATACTGCTGCTCTTCGCTCCTTGAGATCTTCCTTTATCGCCTCTCTGCATAGCTTCGCAAGCTCGGACGTGAGTTGGTGATTGCCTGCAGCTCGTGCGGCTCCACGTTGGCGTATCAGCTCGAGAGTTTCTTTAGACATACAGTCCAAATCTCGAAGTCTGATTGGGCGTGTCACCGGAAATGACGTGGCAGCCACCGCACTTGATAGAAGTTGCGCGGATAAGCTGCTTCCACACGCTTTGCTGATATCTGGCGGAGTATTTTATCCACACAACATCTATCAAGTGCGTGGCTGCCACGTCATTTCCGGTGACACGCCCAATCAGACTTCGAGATACCGACTGTGTCGACTGACGTCCTTGGTGACAGACGTCCTTGGTGACTTTCAAACTCTCTGCCTTCCTGCCACTCTCGTGAAGATGTTCAACGAGCCGATGATATTCCTCGTCGATGTTTTCGATAACGGAATCCTCCCATAAGCTGACAAGAGAAGTGAAGTGATCCCAGTTGATGACTGTCCTGGGGCTTCGCTTCCTGAACTTTGAGGCTCTCTCAACACGCATCGAAAAGTGGAACTTGCGCGGAGGAGACGATGGTCCGATCCCGTGTAGAACTTTGGAACAACAGCGACGTCGGTCAGGCAAAACCTTCGATTGAAGATGATGTGGTCTATCTCGTTATGGAACTGTCCATCAGGTGACTCCCAAGTCCAACGAAGGTGAGAGGGCTTCTGGAACTGCGAGTTACCATGGATGGTTGGTCGACATGATAAACTCAGACAGTCTTTCGCCCTGCTCATTCCAATCCATTCCGTGAGTACCGATGTGAAGTTCTTCAGCCGTTCTTCTTGGGCCAATCTTGGCGTTGAAGTCGCCGACGATGACCTTGAAGAAGGTATGATCTTCCTTGTAGAACTTCTCCAATTCCATATAAAATGCTTCGTGTTCCTCCTCGTCGTAGCTCGATGTTGGTGCGTAGGCGACGAAGATTGTCAAAGCAGGAGTTGAACCACATCTTCTCAATCTCAAACGTCCGATTCGGGTCGTAAGGCTTTCGTACGAATCGATGTTTATGGCCAAGTGCGTGTTGACGAGGACACCCACACCGCCAACGCCTCTGCTGTCGCATGTTCCAAGGAACAGTTCTTCTCCAGTATCGAAAACGGCGTGTAGCGGGCGGTGCCTTCTCGTCTCGGTCAGTCCGATGACGTCGTACTTGATCTTCCTGGCTTGCATCATCAGGTCTTCGATGTGAGCTTCGGATGCTAGCGTCCTTGCGTTG